AAGTTCTCTCATGTAAACTACCATATAAAACATTCACAATAAAACATTAAAATAAAGAATTGATTATGATGATGGTTTTGCAACTCTGAATACACTAGAAACACTGAATTGTATACTTTAAATGGGTAAAAATTATAATAACAAGAGTGTGTTAGGATGGCCAGCGCTGCCCTGACTCACTTCTTCACAGGTAGGAACTTTGTATACTGAAGCCTGGAGAGCTTCCCACAGTGCAGAATCATGACTCCATGCTAAACTCTCCAAAATCTGTTCTTCAATGCTGTTCAAGTGTTTCACCATGTCTCTTGAGAGCCCCTCCTCTGAACGGATCACCACCTCAATAACCTGGAGAGGGAAAAATCAAGAAAGCAATGTGTCTTAGGCAGTCATTTTAGACTAGGCTTCCATATATATAACTGGCTCTGGTTTTACTATGTGACATAGAACAAATGACATCTTTAAACCATAATTCTGTGGCTTATTAACATCTTTAAATTTATAAAGAAACTTCTAAAGTTTTCAAAATATTATTCACATACAAATCTTTTTCTCATGTTTAATTTTATCCATGGAAAATTAAGTCAGGGATAGATAGAAACTGTTCAAAAGTCCAACAGTGGTAGAAGTTGCATTTTGGGTTTCTAGTCCAGTGCTATTTTGAATTTAGACTATTCATCCCAATACCTCAAAAGTAAAGAAGGAATGAAGTATTTAATAGGAACTTTCCTTATACAAAGCAGAATTTCACTTTAATAAGAGAAAATATCTAGAACAAAGTCTGGAAGCATACACACAAAAATATTAATAGTAAAAGATGAACATACATATCAACATTAAATACATATACTAAATTTTTTCTAAGAATCTAAGGATCTGAAAATGTTTAATTATAATCAGTGAACAATGCAAATGGATAAGCTACCTCTATACCTTTAACTCAGACATACTTTAGGTATAAAAATTGAACTCTTAAAACTAGTTTTCCTACCATCAATAATTTTAAGGTAGCACAGATCACTAACTAAATATAGCTTAAATTATACCAATAAGCATTAGTCTTCAATTTGAACACTACCAGTTGCATTCAAGTAGATTCTAACTCATGGTGGTCCCATCTGTGCCAGCAGAACTCTTCTCCAGAGGGTTTTCAAGCCTGGAATGTTTTGGAAGACTGCCAATGCCTTTCTTCCAAGGTGACTCTAGATGAGTTTGAACTATCAACCTCTCGGTTAGTACTCAGGAGTTTAACCACTTGTGCCACCCAAGGGCACAAAGGACACTATTGTTGTTGTTAAGTGCCGTCAAGTTGGTTCCAACTCATAGCAACCCAGTAGAATAGTTGGTGGGTTTGAACTACCGACCTTATAATTTGCAGTCTACTGCTGATCCTATAGCGCCACAACAGGTCTCCACTAGGTAATGTTGTTTTTGTTAAGTGCTGTTGAGTCGGTTCCGACTCATAGTGACCCTGTGGTTCAAACCAACCTTGCAGTCCAGTGCATTAACCCACAGCACCTGTGATGATACAGTTCCGTAGGGGCAACCTCGATGTTTTATCAGAAAAAGGTTAGTATAAAGTTATAGCAGAAAATAAGGGGACATAAACAAGTTTCATCCATACTGAATTCATTCA